TATTTGCTGTCTGCATAGAATCTTCTGCATTTACAGCACTCCACTCACTCACTGTAAGTTAGTGTTATGTAACTGCCAATTTCAAATCACTCTCCCTTCTTCCATCTCATCAGGATCAGAAATATGCTCAAATGTTTTATCTTGCTTGTTGATTAGAACTGTTAGAAGGGTGGTTTGACATCTTTGTGGTCACTTTCTCTAATTCTCTCAATGACCTCTCTCTCAAGATTAGAATGTCAGGGTCCACCTTGAAGATACTCCCATTTGAATTATGGTCCCATTTTAGTCACAAGCCAAATTAGGTCTCGGGTGTGGTGCATGTTCACAGTAGTAACTCTTCCACACGAAAAACTAATTTAGGTGGAAAAGTCTGGAAGCTTTTGGAGCCCTTGGTAGATATGTCCAAATGTATCCAAGGAAACTTATCTTTTTTCTGAGAAAATAACTGAAGTGGAGATATATTCATGGTGCCATTCAGTGGTAAGAGGCTGATAGAGGAATCAAACTGATGCAGATTAATCTTGTTCAAGATTCGCTTGTGCAATTGCCAGAATGACCATCTGAAGGTTCCATTTCCTACAACACTTTAATTTTCTGAAATCTGATCACTCTTTGTCCTGGAAGTTCTATATCTTTTCAGGTGATCAATTTTCCCTTCAAGAATGGTCTTGGTTAGGACCACAAGGTTGTTTTTAAAATGTAATACAAGGGCAACTTTCTCACATCAACAAAGGAGATGTCTAAGTCAGCTCATCAAGCTTACAGTTCTAATAGTTAATGGATTTGCGCTTGCTTTCGAAGCCCAGAAAAGAAAAGATTGGTATGAAAGGATGAAGGGAGTAGTGGGGTGATGATTTGATAGGTTATTTCAGTAGTAACACAGTGATTCATACTGATACATTTATTCACCCAAATGCTTTGATAAAGCAAAATTTCACACAAAAATGTGTCTCAGGAAACAGGATATTACCTTTGCCACAATCTGGTCCATTTCTTCTTTCATCCCTGTCAACCTTTGTTGATGTCTGCCTCAATTACACAAAGCACTGTGTCCCTCACTAACATTAAAATTTAACTATTTTCACAAAGTATGGTAAATCAACTCGCATTAGTCACACAGGCTTTCCATTTTGAGTGCCGAGACATTCTGGTCCACTTCTCATGAGCTGCAAAGAAATGATATTGAATTTCCCGATGGCAAACAACGCTTCTACGTCATTTGATATTTGCCAACCCAATTTACTTACGTTCGCACATGCTTTAACCGCCTGTTAACCTAAAAGGCAAGATCTAACCAAAACTATCTTTTCTGTTAGTCAGTAGAAAATTTCCCATTACGTTCCATTTCCTGGATACTAAAAATAGGGAATGATACAACCAAAAAGGGGCTCAATTAGCGACATTACGTGATGGAATGCAAGTAGAATCTGAGCAAATTTCCATTACCAGATTACCGCCTTTGTTTGCTACTCTTGAATAGCAACAACGCTAAAACTTCGAAAATCGACTGGATACAGTTGAGGGTCTTTTTTCAGTAAATCTCGGTACATTTCATCGTAGGTTGTATCAAATGAATAAATGTTTGGTCGATCCGGAGCTGGGCCGGGCAACTTCACTTGAACTCCTGAACCAAATGACTTCACATTGAAACCGCGCTTGCTGAAACAAAAGAAACGAAAAAACACATTCCTAACGCAATTCTTCCCTCAAAAAGCAAACCGACCATGGCCAATCGTTGGCCTAACAAACAACTACATAAAAGTGTCCCTTTAGAAACTTTTCTGGACGTGAAACGCTTTACCTTAAGAAATTATGAGCTTCCATACTGCGGTTTTGGTTACTAGAGCAAACGACGGCGATTCTTAACTTTAGAACCATGTTTGACAGGTTCAGTGGCATTAAATTTTAAATAAGAGACAAACAAGGAAAACTTAGGATTACTAAGAAAAAATTGATGGTATTATCCAAGAGAAAAACCTTTCGAAGACAACGATGAAACGGATTTTCCTTCAAACCCTTTATCACGAAACTATCCAAGATGGACTCCTTGAAAAAAAGCTTCAACGCAATAGGATTTACGTCATAAAAAGATGATTGGTCAATTGAAACATCCTGGCAACCGCCCTTGAACATACGGGAAGTCTCCTACTTAGTCCTTACCGGACGTAGAGGAAAACATGGCGGACGGAGTGGAAGAGGCGACAGATGTGGTAACATCTATATTCATTTTGCGAGAATATTTCCAGCAAGGGTCTTTTTGCATTTAAGTAATATTTTATCTTATTTTGCATAATATGCAGCTTCTTGAGGAAAAAAAGGAATCAAGCCCATCGTCTAATGTGGTATGTTTCCCAGACACTGGTTCTTAGTCGTAGAATGGACAAACTCGATAACAATCTTTGCTCTACTTTAATATCGATGGTATTTTTTTTTTTTTTAATCAATGCGAAATACTTCTTTTGAGCATTTTGAATTTTACGTATCTCTAATTTGTGATTTGGTGGCAATTTAGCTCATTGCCCCTACTGACAAGTGAATGGTTACAAAAAAAACAAAAACTTAAAACCCATCAAAGTTCACCCTGCTATACATCAGGCTTTGTTTAAATTGTTGGTTTTGAGCATTAAATTTATGGTATTTCAAGATTGTAATTTGAAAGTTTTGAAACGCAAGCTCTGAAATATCAGGAAACAAAACAGACTGAAATGGTTTTCGAACTAGGACGTATGCTCTCATGCCCTAGAATTAGATTTCAAAATGTTACTTCAGGCTGGTAAAGAAACCAGGCGTTTTGATAATCAGGCCCCATGTGCAGGAGTTGAACCCAGGCCACATCAGAGGGAGACAAGGGTTATTACCACTTTAGGGCCATCCCTGTTCCTCCTACAGGGGTGCAGGATTAACATTGTAGATAGGCTATCTTTACTTAGTATGCCAAAAATATTTTTGAAGTAAGCTTTGCTGTATGAAAATCTCACTATAGTACTGTGCCATTTCTCTTTAATTAGGAGACAGAATTTAATGGTGACAACCCAGAAAAAAGTGAAAAAAGGAAACTCCTAGAGTCATGGCTTAACAAGATCATGAGAATAAAGATCTCTGATGGAAGAACATTAATTGGTTCCTTCCTATGCACTGATCAAGATAGGAATATAATTTTAGGATCATGTCAGGAGTTTGTTGGTTCTTCAGGTACTGAAACTTTTCATTAATTTATTGGTAAAGTGGTTCACCATTCATCCATTCATGGTGCTTATCTCTGATTCTGGCTACCTATGATTGGTGGCATACCACAATTCCCAAGTGGGATGTGAGTCACCCACAGGTACCCCTCCCTCCCCTCCAGTGTTTTGTTAAGCTTTTCCTTGCAGTCATTTGTATTCCTGGGTGGAGAGGGGTAGTGTTAATGTAAATTGTCTTCCCTTATGTGAACATGGCATTTGTGTGGGATGACATAAGCTGGAGAGTGAGTTAAGTTAAGTTAGACATTTGTCTATTTAGAAAGTCATTCCATTCATTTTACACTTGATTCCTGCAACACTATACCAACTGTCTTGATAGAACAAACCCAAAGCTACCATGTGATAATTTGGTTTTATCAACTGAGTTGATGATGTAGAGCTACTCTGTCTTTCTCCCATCCTCACCTTAACTCCCGGACATGATTGACATGTAACTTCTCCCTTAAATATTCATTCATTATCCAGCAAACAGGTTAAGAGAGTAGTCAAACTTATCAGGTAGAAGTTGTCATCTTGATCTAACACCAAATTCTCATCACCAGTTTATAAGGAAATGTGTAGCAGCTAAAGGAGAGAATTGAAAATCACATCTTTGGGAGTTAAAGGGTTAACTACTTGTCCTTTCTTTTTTTAATGTTCATGCAGATGAGAAAGAAGAGCCACGGATTCTTGGTTTAGCCATGGTGCCAGGAAAACACATTGTTTCTATTGAAGTTGATGTGGAGTGATGTTGATGTACATTATCAGTGAAAATGAGGCAAGCAGAGACACAGCTGTACCTTTCCTTAGCATGGGAAAGCTTGAATCAGGACTTGGAAAAGAAGTAAACATTTGTGGAGTGCACACCTTTCTCAGTGCAATTGTAGAGCCACTCTTATGGGAAGCTACAATTTACACAATCCCTGGTGGCAGAATATGGTTGACTGACAACCTGAGGTTGGTTGAAACCAAGGAAGCCTCTCTGAAGTTGAAAGTTATTCAAGCAGAATGACCATTCAGACATTTTGTTGACAGCACAGTCAAAGGGAATGAGGTTCTCTGGTGTCTCGCTACCAACTAATAATTTTCTTGAACTTAAGCAAGTTATTTCAATTTGCAGAAATGATGGTCTTATAAGAAGGTGCATCCTTTAATTTTCCTTTTTCTGAAAGAGCCAAACTTGTTCTAAGATCAACTGTTAGACTTCTTATGCCTAAGATCTACACATCAATTCTTTCCAGTACCTGCCATAAATGTCTTAAAATTTTAGTAGTAAGAATTTGGCTTTAAATGCCAATCAATATCCCTAAGCTCATATATTTCACATCAGCTTTCTGCTCAAAAAAGGTGCAGGTGACCATTGCAATTCCTGTTCATAGTAGGAACTTTAGTACACTAAATAAATCAAGATTTTTTTTATTCATTTGTCAAAGTGCGTGTTATCTTGAAAATTTACTTAAAACATTCTATTTGAAACTACACACAAATTCAAAAGTGAACTTATCTTTCCAACCCTCTCACACCCAAGTTCTCTCAAGTAATTCTCCTTGCCATCTGCCATACAATTCTTATGGTGTTAGAGCAGAGAATTTTGTATTGGATCAACCAGTTATCCCCTAATTGATACTTTCTTTTATTCTCATCTCTTGTCAGCTTGATATTTTTGTGATAATGTTATGCAATGGTCTGCCTTGGCCTTGGTCACACATGGGAGTTAAAGGGTTAAATCAATACACCCTTTGTTATAATATACCACAAAAAGAAAACCAACAAACAAACTAAATCACCAAAAAAAATTGTTTCATATTCTATCAAAACCTTTTTCTCTGAACAACAGTCAACCATGGCATTACAAACTTCCATAATTTCTGAACAATGATTGATTTATTCATTGCTATTTTTATACTCTGCCATTCTATTTCAAGCCATAAACTCCCAGCTGGTGATAGTTATAATCTGCGAAAACTTAAATTATTGTACAATTGAAAGCATCTAACAGATATTCTGTTCAGGTAGCAACCAAACAGGAATTTTGTGTACTGCTGCAAACTTGCTTTAACCATAATAAACCTATGAAAATCTCAGTGCTTTATTGCTTTAGTAAAGGAACAGGAGGCTCTTTTTCTTCTTCAGAAACATTTGCACCAATGTTCAGCCCCAACCAGCGGGACGGGTAATCACTTTATCAGCTCACATGGTGAAGAAGTTTCATCAGAAGAAGGAAAGTTCAGTCCCTTTACAACTGACTAATGCTTTATTCTTACCCTGAGACAAGACTTTTCTATACAACCTTTTAGAAAACAAATCACTTATACTAATTTCTAAAAACAGTCCAAACAAGTTAAGGAAACTTCTTCCATGACAATCAAGCTGGTGCTGAATTTCAAAGTCAGAGATTGTGTTCCTTGACACTGCAGACACAATGAATTTCTGACAACTATTCCCAGTTAACAATGAAGTAGTTAATTATAATAACATAACCATTGATAATACATTGTCCTCATTCACAAAGTCAGCTTCTACTTGTTAGTAACCACACAGGTCTCATAGTTCAGTTGTCAAAGGCCGTGCTGGCCTAGAATCTAGTTCAGCTGTCATCTTCTGAACACGGATTGCGTTGCAGTCTTGACATAGAAGGTGATTGTCCAAAGGATAACAGCCAGAGCCACCCTTCTCTGCTGATAAAGGGGCACTGCAGTCCTAAAACAACCAAAAACTAGATGGTAACTAATGTGGGAAAGTAACTATAATGTGTTTATGATGGCAGGTGTCTAAATTTGTGAAAGAACCTTTAAGTATCACTTGTGATATTTGAAGAGTTAAAAGTCACAAAATTCTTGTGAGTCTTTAAAAACAGACTTACTTAAGGTCTCCAATTCAATAATTAAAAAGGTTTTGTATATCTAACCTCACAAACATAGCACTTGACATGAAAATCCTTATTCATTGAGACAATACGAACAGTTTCTTCTTGACCCTGAAAGAACATTGAACAACATTAATTTGAGTGTAAAATAGAATACAGGAAAATATACGTTTTATTACATATTCTAGTGTGTAATATTGATGACTAGTTTTGCAAGTTGTGTGGTATTTTGATGGGCCTGTAAGGTGGGTCAAAATACAAACAAAAACTTTAGGCACTTTTTGAGAAGGTGGGAAAGCAAAGAAGATACAGAAGCAGAGCATGCACAGCCAACAAGTCTTTTTTCAGAGAAAAATAACCAACTGCCTTAATATTGCATGATATTTGTATTCATATTGCATGTAATTTGTACTTGTCATTACTCAGTGCAGTTGGATATTATGTTGCAGTATGAAACAGCAAACATGCAGTGAGGTCACAAAATTACACACTTTTCAAGTGACATGTAATAATGACCATGGTTAACGGTATATCATTTTGACCAAAGATGTGAGAAACATATTTTACGTTAGAATAATTTTTTGGAGGGGGAAATGTAAAATGTGATAATCAGATTTTCATTTGTTTTACACACATTAATTATTGACATGCAAAAAGGAACTACCAGGTTTTTAAGGTAATGCATTAGAAAAAGTGAGAACAATCCTTAAATAATATTATTTAGTCTTGATATCCAAGGGTTTTTATGTAGCTGGCTAAAATGTACCACTAAATAGAAAATTATTTACCTCTTCAGGGACTATAAGCTGATTGCAAGCTGCACATCTTGGAGAGTATTTCCTGTAATAAGAAAGAATTAAACACTTAGTTTCTGAAATATTGGCGGTCAAAATATTGACACATCAAGAAATAACAAATTTCCAGTGGAAACTTTTATTTTCTCTATTTTATTGCATTATATTAATTAGGTATGTTACAACTGGGGAAGGTAAAAACACTTACTGATTAAAAAAAAATCAAATTAACTGAAATCAGATTGGTGTTTTTCTTTTCCAACTTTTATTGAATAAGTACAATAAATGTAATGATGATCATGATTATCAGTACTGTCATTACAATTAGAATTCTAATAGTAATCATTATTACAATCAAAAACTTGTCATAACATAAATACCTATAGTAGTCCTCAATGCAATGGATTATATTAAAGTTGTCCACTGTGAACTGTATTCCATCAAGTTTTTTACTACAAACTTCACACACAAAACAGTCTGGATGAAAACATTTCCCAGTGGCCCGTAGAATCTGATAACAGAATTTGGTACTGTAAATAAAATGGCATTAGCACTTCACCCCATAAATAAAGTAAACATCTTAAAACTGAATAGATCTGTAGGAAATGACCCAAGAGTGGAATAGAGGGTATTACACCCTGCCCCTCACCCCACCCCCCCTCACACCTCATCCTGCCCACCTTCCCCTGCCCCCATACCCCTGCAAAAGAGACTGAAAATCACACTTTTTCATACAATACAAGAAGTGAATGAAAATAACTCTGTATACTTTATCTCGCTCATCCAAAGCTAACTAAAAATGAATGTGAAAAAATTACAATTCTTTAGGCCTCAGTTCCCTTTTTAAGTTAAAATTTAATTTTTGGGATTCAACCTTCAGTTTTCAAGCTTTGACTAATAATTTCACTCATTGTTGAAAGAATTTCTCCCTTTTTTTAAGAGAGCACCCTTCAGCTAATAAGTTTTCTGATAATGAGAAATTACATGTTAATGAGTTTTAGGAACCATGGGATTAATTAGTCAAGATGTACCAGTACCTTCAGATTTGAATGTACATAATATATAGATTTAGCCAAGCCCAAAAGCGGAGCTTGCATTTTTTTTTTCCCCGCACGTCTCAAGGGCACAACACCTTGCCCTGGCCAGGACCAGAACCCAGGTTATCCGACTTGGAGCCCAGTGCACTGACCACTGGACTACTAGACAAAGCCATGGCATTGACATGCCCGCCGTACAGTTGACCATGCATAGCACCTTGTACGGACGCCCGTATGGTCATAAGTCCAAATTTTTTCAGCTTGATGGGTTACCACTACCATTTTGTACAATTATGGGGCTACACTCTGCGAGCTCCGCTATTACTGAATGCTACCCAGACTAGAATGCTTCTATCAGCACCCTAATGCATTAGTCCCCAGTAAGTACATGATGCTGTGCAGTGAATCAATCTCTCTCTCTCTCTTTTTTATCAGGTGTGAAACACCTTCTGGAGCATCAAACTTCATTAGATGGCATTTTACCTGTTCTTTTGATCACTCAAACAAAGCTAGTTCAATTCAATTGAAATTTTATAATAAATGTTATGAGTTCCTTACCCTTTCTGTGATACGTTTGTTACAAGCCCAACAGGTCTCCAGTGTATCCTGTAAATAAACAGCTTAAGGTAAATTTTAAATTTAAATTTTGATTTATTGTGCAAATATATGGTAGATTATTGTACACCATTAATCTCTCAAATCACTCCTACAAAATTGGTGTTATTCCTCTCTAGAAGGTTTACCTTCCATGTTGTTTTCAGTTTGGAAGCTTGAGGAAAAGTTGAGTTTTGCTAGATAGCTAAGCAAATACAATGACAAAGCTGGTGAAAGTCAGGTTTTAAGCCATAAATAGCCAAAATTTCAAACATTCTGTCTGTACATCTTGATATGTTTACCTGTCTCTGTTTGAGCATTATATTTAATTAGAAAATATTTCCCAAAGTAACACTCACTAGATAGTCTGCCTCACAAAACACTTCCTCTTCCACTTTGTAGAACACCTTGCCAGTCAGCTGACATCCTATGAAAACAGGTATGAACTATAGTCAGCTACATGGATGAGAAAATAACAGTGAATAAAACTCTGAAGAAAAATCCTGCTTGACCAGAAACATATCAAAGGTAAAATAGTATAGACCATAGTATGAATTTCCAGCCAGACTTAATACTAACACAAGGGCCATGCACACAGCATGAGATTCTGGGGCAGTTTGCATTTCACTTTGGGAAAATTAATAAAAATTGCTCTTCTGAAGGCTTAAAAGAGCTGGGCTCCTCAGTTTCCCAAAGAAAAACCTTTGAGAACCTTGAGATCCTTCTAAAACTGTGCCTGAAAGGATCTTCCACATTGGAAATTTTAAGGCTGATAAGGACAGGAGCCACTCAGCAACTGAACATACTCAAAGGGGACACAAATCAGAGCCTGAAAAACATGCTCTCCCCCAAGCTCCTTTGAGCCCATAAAAGATTTTGGTACTCTGCTTGGGAAGAGTGCTGAGACTGGTCGTCTGGACGGGAAATGTCCCCAAGACCTGTGTGTATGTCTGTTGACACGCATGCAGGACCACTTTATATTATCTTGTTAATATCTTCAGAACCTTCGGGTTACTCTTATTTTATCTGTTCCTGAAAGGTTAGGTTATGGAAACCAGTCAAAGTGTCTCATACCAGATACACCCTAGCCCGAACAGCTCAATGGACATCAAGATCAACTGAACCACAGGAATACCAATAAATACTGAAAATCTGCTCACCACATTTGTCACAGAGGAAACACTTGATGTGGAATAATTTTTCCATGGCAGTACAACCCGTCCCCTCTCCTGAGACTTTCTGCCCACATTTACTGCACATTCCTAGAAAAACAAACAAACAAACAAACACATATCAATCATAAAAAAATAAAAAAGTTGTTCCCTTACTGTTCATGATATCTTGATTATTTTGGTTCACTTTCAAATTCAAATAAATGACAAGTGTGTTTTCCCCCACTAAATAGTAGAAATTCTTGTTTGTCTATGTCTTGAATGGTTGGGCAAAATCAAGGAATTGTGTGACATGTTGTGTAAAAAGAGAAGCCACTAGCAACAGTTCTGTAATTAATCACTGGCCATTTGAAATGATCAGAGATATTCAAGATGTTAAGTTTTGAATTCAAAAGTCAGCTAAATCTTGGAAAATGGTGAATTTCCTGTTCATAGAGAGTTCACTTAAAAAGAAAAAAAAAAAAACCAATTTGTTCCCCATATCATATCTAGCTACCTAATTTAAATATTGAAGTAATGCCATCCTAACAGATGTTGTGAACTAGGACAATTGACATGACAAACTGACATAACTATGTTGCAAATATGGAAATTGTCAGCTGAGTTAACTTTCGAAGTTGAACATTTGGTAGCTGAATGATGCAACAGCAGTAGATGAGTAGCACACTGGAGCAATTCCTAACAGGACATTTCTATAAGTTCCTAGACACCGTGACACCCAAGAAAGGAATGTGAAAGATTTTAACAATTTCAGTTTTCTGCAAGCAAGGATCAATAAATTATTCATTCAATTTCTTAATTCCACGCTAATACTGTAAAAGTAACAGCATAACAGCTTTAATTTTTTTTAAAGGAACATTAACTGGTATACAGTTTTAAGCTACGCTATGTTTTTTACTTTTAAGCTAGAATACGATTGGACAGCACAAAAAAATTTTCTTTCCATTTTTTGGCAAATTACGTGTCTAAGGAAAGATCATCTATTTAGAGTATATCGGGCTTTACAGTAAATTTGCAACGTCATTTCTAAAGCTGGTTAAGTGCTCTTACATTAGTGAGACTAAAACTGAAACTTTAAGAATCAAGCGATGTTTGATCCGCTGTAAGGAAAGGAAAGTCAGTGTTACCAATTTTCTGACCCACTGTGTGCTTTGATACAACACTCAAATCGAAAAGTAAACAGCATCTGTTCATTGCACAGGATTAACAAAACATAACCATGTAAATCCAGTCGAGGAAAAAGCCTAGACGAGTTGAGTATTATAAACAGATTTACCCAAAACCCAAACAATGCCTAGACAGAACTGCAAAAGAAGCTCTCGCACAAGACGCGATGCAAAACAGAACAAGTAAACATCAACAATGCAACACAGCGCAGTGCCTTACCGAAAAAGTCTGGATCGCCTGTATTCTCCAAATTCTTCACAAGAAGATCAGTTAGTGCGTCAAGTTCTTCTTCAGTGCTTTTCATTCCACCTGAAGACTGAAGCGATGGTGGTGGCGGTCTGGGATTCGCTTTCGTTAACCGTGTGGCTGTCATTCTGACAGGCTTCGGCGAAACAGGCGGTGGAATCTTTTTGCCTGTTACTGGGTCTAAGCGAACTGGAGTCCTGGAGGCCATTGTTATCAGCTAACACAAGATCAGTCAACCGCTAAGTTGTATTGTACTCCTGACAAAGTGAACTGTGGCTCTGTATGTGGGCTTGCCTTGTTTGGAACGACTAAGTAATGTAACGGAATGAGAAGAATTCGGACATCCTTAGGGTGGGGAGGGGATCACATCCGATAAGTGAGGAGGGCCAGTGACGGGATAGGTCTTCCCTAAAAATATATCCCAAAAATGTTGTTTAAATGCCTTCTTAATAAAACTTTTCAGGTAACTCAATTTCGCGACAAATTAATCGTCGGCGTATTTTGCGTGGCAGAAAAACTGTGTTTAAGCAATAAAAAGGACCCATGTTTTTATTTATATCCGCACCATCTGACCTTGAAATCAATTAACTTCGATATAGTTCGAGGTGATAGTTTATTCATCTTTTTATCCATCAAACGGTTATCTTTTGACGTATTTTAATTCGTATCTTATTATTAAAACAATAGATGTACGTCCTGTTACATCAGAATACGCTTGCGGCTAAGCTCTTCCTGTTCATTATTTGTGGGGAATTTGAATAGTAACGAAATTAACATCATGATCGTTTTTGACAAACACAATGCTTTGACAACTATGTAAAAGTAAAGGTTTTATGCATGAGCTATCAAGTTCCCAGTGGATAATTTTCATGTTATTTCTATTTTTGCGAAATTTGTAACCTATAGGCTATCAAATATCAAGTTCATGAGAATAAAGGTCTCTTAACTTTTAGACATATTCTTCAGAATTCGCTTACAGATGTTAGGGTGTAGGGGGAACCAAGCACAACAAAAACAACTTTTAAGACAACATAGATGCATTTTTTTCTATCAAGATGATCAGGTTCCTGAACGTTACGACAATTCTGGCATGTACGTGAGGATTGTTTCTCAAAAATAGCAGGGAATTAAAAACAGTACTCAAGCATGCCAATAAAGCTATAGGTATTCCTGACTGATATCTTCAACAGTTCTAAATATTATATTATTTCTTAGACATTCCGTAAACTTCTGAATATCCCCCGAAAATATCCGGACACTCATAAAAGGCCTGGATCGGATTTTGTCATCGTCAAATAGATCAAGCAGCAAAGAGGCACCTGTGGTATTTCCGCCAGACGATATATGGGTACCTTGCATAGTGAATTTCTTTAAACCCTTACTGATAATGAAATCGGAAATCAGGCAGAAGTACTGAATGTTTCCACGCGCTTGGAATAACTTCAGAATTTTATTTTACACGAAAAAAATGAATTTGATTGTGGTCCTCGTTTTTACTGTAACTGTAGGTATTAATATTCCTTTACTTAAAACCCTCTTAAAACGTTTTTTTGTAATAATTGGATTAATCATTCCGTTACAACCCTATGAAATGGATAGAAAATTCAAAATTATTCGAATATCCAGAATGCTTTGACGGTCGGACATAAGGCTTCTTATGGTCATTATTTTACCCTAGAAATGAGAAACCTACATTTTCAGTCGAGAGGACCTCCTGAGGAATCAACTCACTAGGAGTTTTTAAGGCAAAATCATCCACCACATTGAGTCTAATCGCGACTGAATTAACATAAGCTACGTAATTTTTATACAACATAGCTTACATTTGATGCATTAAAATATCAAAATATTTAAGAACACAATGCAATTGGTACAAAAATATTTAATTCGATCAACAGGTGTATCGCTTCTCAATAGGAGTTAAAACCAGACGCTTTCTTGGGGCCATTTTGGCAAAAACTAAACCTACTTATTCCTGCTATAAATACTTTTTTACACTTAAATAACAATTTGCGTCAACTACACTTGTAAGGCTGGTTTGTCCATTACCTATATCTACTAAAAGCCCAATGTGCAAAAAGGAATGGCAACGCTGGAAAAGTCATAGCAAATTTGTTATCTTCGGTAAGAATTTATGATGGAGATTAAATTTTGGGGGCAAAAGGTTTTGACACAAAAATGGGGAGTGAGTTGACTCGTGTGAGTTGAATACATATTGTTGGGAAAGTAGCCCAGCAACTGGATATGCAGGAACTAAGGAACTTGTTTACGCGGTTTTTCAACCAAGAAGGGTAAGTAAGAATTTTCAAACAACGAACCCGTTCTGTAATCGACGCCGTTCCTGCAGCAGCACTAAAATTTCTCTGCGTGACCTGAGCCTAATACTCAACCCTTTCATCCCAAAGAGTGACTAGCATCTAATTTCTCCTCACCATATCATCCCTGAATCACACATTAAGGTCACGAGAGTAAGGGAAATGATCACCAACTAGAGGAGCTCTTGATTGTTAAACAAATTCTCCTAGTCGGCACCTTAGGAAACTTCTGGAGAACAGTACTGAGAAAATGCATACTGACAATAGGGTGTAAAGGGTTAAACGTTGTGTTCCTCTACGAGAAGTTTTGCACCGATACGGTTTAAAATTCGTCTCATGGAGTTCTGTGCTTTTCTTCAACGATTAACAATAAGCTGATTCACTCTTAACGTATTGCAATGTTTGCCTTTTTACACGTTGCTTTTTACAATTACCTGTGAGTGAGTACAAGTCTGGAATAAACAGAGCTCACAGCATGCTCTCGTCTATCCTTTTTTCTTTCGTTATTTTTTCTCTTTTTCTACGTTTCCAGCTATACCGTTTCGTAGGCAAGAGAAATTTTGTAAAAGAAAAAACCGAACATAATGGAAAAAAAGAGTGAAAAAGCGGATGTAAATGTTGAAGGCTACTTCTTCATCTCAACTTTCAACCTTACATTCTAGCGTAGCCATCACATGGTTTAAAGAGCTTTCTTAGTTGGTAGGTCTGTGGCAAGTGATTTGGACTTGTTTGAATCAGTAGTTTGTTTGACATTGTGCAGTATCATCAGTCCATGATCTGCCATGCGCCAAGCATCTCGGTCTGCAGACTCATTTCTGATGTGGATTAACACTTCATCCAAGCCAAGCTCGGCAATTTCGTCCCTAAGTGAAAGAAAAAAAGAAAAAAAATATTAAAGAGAAAAAAATCAGAGCAAGTGCTTCACCTTGAGTTTAATAATGAGACATCGCACATTTATTGACCCTGTAATTCCCATGAGTGACCAAGAGAGAATTTCTCCTCACAATATCTCCCCTGAAGCACACATAAAGGTCACGAGAATAAAGAAAATGATCACCAACTAAAGACGTTGTTGATTGCTAATCAAATCCTCTTCGTCAGCACCTTTGGAAATGTGTGGAGAACAATGAGCATGGAGAATATGCATACTACAGTTGAGCTGCATCCTTCATCAGTTCTCGGATTACGTCCTTCCTTTGAAGATTTGACACTTTCCCAAACTAAAACTTTAAAGATTACCCAATATCAAGGGGGGTGAAAATAAATTTTCGTGCTAAATTTTGTTTTGGAAAAAGTCCGATTACCATGGAAGAATGTACCACACAAATTATCAGGCACACACTTACTTGTTCTCGTGTGAGTCTATCATAGCCAGAATAATCTTGGCCACTACATTCTGCAGCAGAGGATCCAAGCTGTATGCTAACTCCATTAGACAGAACTTCAAGTTCTCAGCCTCCACAAGTTTCTGACAAGCCTGAAATTAGGGATAGACAGGACAGAATTTGTAATAACTTTAACTGCTTAGAGTGACTAGCATCTAATTTCTCCTTCCAAAATCTCCCCTGAAAGGCACATTAAGGTCATGAGAATAAAGGAAATCACCATCAACTAAAGAAGCTCTTGATTGTTCGACAAATTCTCCTTGCCAGCACCTTAGGAAATGTATAGAGAAAAGTACAGAGTATATACAAACTGATGATAAGGTATAAAGGGTCAAAAGAAAAGTTCGTTGAACGTTTTGTTCGTTACTATTGCAAAGAAGCTTAGTAATAAGAAACACTGACGAATATTTCTCCGGTAAACCGATAGAAAGAGCGCTCTAATCATTTTGTGCACGTGGATTTTTCTAGATTTTTACTGAAACGTCGTCCGAATCTGTGAATTTCAATATTACCTTTCGCTCAAGTTTTTACATACGTGTCGTATCTCTGTTACTTACCAGCTCACTTTCAGCGTAATAAAGAATGATCTTTCCTGCCAGCAAGAACAGCTGTTCATCGTCTGTCAGATTGGGGAGAGACAGCAGCAACTCCAGCAGGGAATCCTGGGATGAATTAAAATTATTAGAAACGAAAAATTTAATGGCGACATTCCTTCTCTACCCTACAGTACAGTTGTCTTATTGGGGAGAGCGAGTTACCGTTTTAAGCTCGCGATCGTCCACCCAGCTTCCATGTTTGTTCCGGGATAAAAGTGGCCGGAGAGAGGAGTGGGCGGGCTCCTTTCCCCTTTCTATCGAGGGTCCAAACTTCCAAAGCTCGTTCTCGAAAAATATGAGGTTTTCCTTTTTCAGGCAACAAGAATACCCTTTATTTGTACACGATAAAGGTAAAATCTAATACTTGTTTATGAGACTAACAAAAGGATGGAATAAAACTACTCCAAGCTGATCACAATAATCAGTATTTTTATGAAAGCCTAAGAAGTTCGTCCTACACTCCTTTACTCCAACTCACTTTCAAGGAACCGATTTGCTAGTATTCAAATTAAATACGTAAAAATTGGAAAACCAGGATGCGCAACCTACATGTGTAATAATGACATCAGAATTCTCTATGGCCAATAGCTCCAGTGTTTGAAGAGCAAGTCGCTGCGTTTCTGCATCTCGAAGTTTGCACAGATGCACAAGAGAAGTAGCTACAGAAAGAAGAAGGCTATTATGTCACTGATTAGAAGATTCAATGATAAAAAAAGTACTTGGCATGGGTTTTAATTTAACAAAAACGGGGTGGACTACACAAAAATTTTATGCGTCGAGCTTTTCGATTATGAATCAAACACTCAAGGAAATGAATAGAGAGCAGTATATATGGAGAATATGAATACTGACGTTAGGGTGTAAAGGGGTTAATGTCATACCAGGCGCACTCTGTTGGGAAAGCATGACTCGTATCTCTGCCGTAAACACAAGTTCAAGGAAGATTGCTGCAAGGATTCGAGAAGCTGGGACTTGAACTGAAACAGAAAAAAGAAAGAGTATTAGTCTAATTTGTAAAACTGCTGTCAAAACCCCCTATTTACCTTTTCACCCAAAAGAGTTATTAGCACCTAATTTCTCCCTACAATATCATTACCTGAACGTAACATCTTTCGAGTAAATTTTTTAGGCTGCATAATCTTTGACATTCACACTTTTGAGCCGATGAGAGTGAACCTCCTTTAGCAAATTTTGTTACTTGCTCAGTTGCATGTTAAAACTGGCAACCTTTATTCTTTACGAAATCATTCTTACTTATACCAGATGCGGTGCTCGTGCTTATGCTAATTACATAGTTGAGCGTGCTGTTGTGTATTTCTGTGGAAACGTTTATGTTTTCTCTTATGTTTATTGTTAATTTCTAAAAAGCCGCTAGATGCCAATGTACTCAATACCCGATATAGAACAATCTTTTGCAAAAAAGTGAGTGTGCAGAAGCTCTCGAATTGTAATTGTTTTTTTTAGGGGAAAAAAGTCCAAAAGTACTCTTTCACAGAATAATTTGATACCATTAATTAGACCCTTAAAAGAGATATCAAAAATCAGACTTGTTGAATCTTTCAAGTAAATAATAAATCAGCTACTGTCAGTATCAATACACTTACTTCGTTCAGCAACGTAGCACAAATCCTCCAAGCTGTAAATGAAAAAGAGGAATTGCAATAATTTCATTCACAGCTTCGTGAAACATAAATAAGTGGTACACCGTTTTAAAAGAAGTCTTGGCTCAGTGGTGTCAGTTTTTACTTGATCTTCTGCATAAAAACATACAAAACCCACAATTCCTCCACTTGCTCTGACGAAGGACTAACGCTCGAAATGTTAGCTTTGCAATTCTCACGTCAGCAACTCAGTTGATAATACTATATTACCCTTCAGGGGTAGCCTCACAGTACAACTAACCCTCCCCTCCCTTCCCTTCCACCAAGAAAACATATGAATCTCTCACAATCCACCATGCTTCATATGGCCAGCAAGACCCTTTTATATGCTCCGTGATCAAATGGAGCTTGCCCCACCGCCTCGTGCATCTACATTTTACCTAAGCTCTGAATGAGTTGTATCGAAAGACTGTACAAGTTATGTGGAATTTTACAACATGTGTAACTGGAGGTTATTAGCTGTAATAGATATGCAGTTATTCCTTAGTTACTTAGTGGTCAGGATTCATATCAGTGAGAAACCTGTGTACAGCCGCCCCTTACCCACAAAAAAAATCGGAAAGGGCCCATTGCCCGTTTTTGTCTTTGAGGGTAAGGGCGGCTGCAAAGTGACTTAGCAGCCAGGTGTAATAGGGATCATGAAGAAAAAGTTAAAATCGTTCAGGAAGAGCATAAATAGCTCAAAGCGTGGTTGTGGGCTTTCTTCTCACTACTCTCGAATTTTTAACAACCATTCTACCTCCTTTTCCTCTTTTGCAGGTCAGATTCATATACTCCTTGTTATCTTTACGAAAATATCTTGATTCACCTCTGTTTCACTTGTCCACTTACAACAGCAATGTTTTAAAATACATGAATGACAAATATATATAGCACTGACTTATATTTCTTTTGGTTCTTACCCGTTTTCTCCGATGACCACCTGCCTGTTAGCTTCACTGTCAGACACTATATACGACAGGGCTGTCACAGCTTCATTCACCACACGATTCTCCTTGGAGTGCAACAGAGCACACATGGTGCGAACTCCACCCAGTTCCACAAACTGGTCCTTAAAACGATCAAAGTTTCACAGTTGTTAACTCGTGGGTACATTGTTTAAAGAGAATGGAGGACTTAGTTTGCAGCCTTAAAAGCGTGACATACAAAGTAAACTAAAAAATTTGTTTTACCGATGTTACAGTGTAAAAAAAGCTACATAATTCTGTCAGAGAGAGTCGTTGTCTAGTGAGACATAACACTGAAAACAGAAAAATAACTTCAAACCTGGATAACAGGAACAGTGAGTAGTTCTGATATTGCCTCTATTGCATATTCTTGAGTGGCCTGAGGAAATCAGATGAAAAAAATACTTTCACCATCAAGGTTAATTAAGTAAAAGACATTCTGGGTAAAGATTAGCTAAGGGCATCAAATTCAGGGCATCAGAGTCAAACCAGAGAGTTCTGCGTAATAGCTGGAAAGTCAAGTGTCTCAGATGCTTGAAGGGAACACCCTGCACCATCACAGCCATAAAACTGAAGCTAAAAATCTGTTAGGTGAATACCTAATGCCATACAAATATTAAAATTTTGGAAATATTTATCAGCAGACTTATGAAAGAATTTTTACCTGATCTTGTGACAGGCATAAATTCATCAAGGCTGGTAGTCTGAAAAAAAAAAAGGGTGATGGACAGTTACTTTTGAGAGGATCACAGTTTCAAATAACAGTTCAATACATCTACCATCAACTTGATATTTCCAAAAATGTTAAGCCTTGATGGATAAACTATTAATTTTAGGCTTGGAGTGTTTCCAAAAAAGACTTTTTTGAAATATTTCTTGGTGATTAGTGTAAAAACAATTTGAACTGGCTGGGGTTTGTTTAAGTGAAAACAAGCTACTTGATTGTATTTTGCTTGATTGTAAATTTAAAGTGCTGAAAGTCATTGCACTAAGAACATTTAATATGTATGAGCCACCTGCTCTTCCGACAGCTGAAAAAATGACAGGGACAAAGCAATGGTTTCCAAGTTATGACTGATAGAAAGACTGGGACATTGAAATTTTTGGCTCAAGAGATTTTTCTCTCCATTTAAACAGCTGGAGCTAAATATTCAGACCTACCCCCCCTCTTGTACAATCCTAAATTTTGTGTCATCTCCTGTGGCCGCTAAACTGGCAAGTTCAAATGCAGCACCTCTTCTTTCTTTCATACTTCCTGTCTTGGCACTTTTCATAACTTTATCAATATCCCTGATCTGTACCAGATGTGTCTCGATCAGGTCACCCACCTGTAAAATGGGTTTTTTAATCAGCTTTTTAACTACAAGTTAACATTTAACTAAGGTATATCATATACAGATTCAATAATGGTGAAATTCAAGAAAGGCTCACAAGAGCAAACAAACTAATTTTAGAATCAAAAGACCCAGGTTTGAGTCCTGATCAGGTCATTGTGTTGCATTATAAGGCAAAACACTTTCTTGCAGTACCTCTCTAAAGCCAGGAGTACAAAAAGGAGCCTGTAAACATTCAGGGATGCCTGATGATATGTGTGGTAGTGGTTTTACATCATGAAATGTAGTACAGGATTAAAAAGCCTGAGAAGAGTATTTCTCATTGTCTAAATGAAAAGTAGCTCAGGCCTTAAAATAGTGGTAGGAGAATTCTCTGATCTTCAATTCCTGGTACATGTGTTCAGGAACGGGAAGGGGGGGTTTACTTGTGATAACATTCCAAGTTGCTTCTAATAACTTCTTGCTCAAGAGAAGAGGATACTCCCCCTCCCCCCCCCTTCATC